TTTTACCAGGAGAGGTTTTAATGAGGCAACATCCAAAGCATGAAATGAACTTTGAACGGATATATCAACCAAGGGGGAGTGTTGAGAAATGATGGTTGGGACATATCCGGAAATGGACCAGACCACATCAGTCTCGCTTCAGTCCAAGACCAGGCGACAAGCACCTTATCCTTATCCATACCAGGCGGCCAAGACTTGTGATTATCCTCCCTTGTATTTATCCATATGTTGTAGTTATCCTAATCATTATAGGATTAGGATAATCATCCCCTTTATTGTTGTAATCCTTATCTCCTAAGGAATATGCTTATTCTCTTGTATGTATATATATGTATGTGCACGTGATTAATAATACTATGAGAGTTACAACCTTCTTTATTCTTTAACAATTTTCGCATTTTAATAGTTTTGTCCCATGATCTGTTTATATTACTAAACCTTTTTAATACAGTTTGTGTACACATCTGCTAATGCTAACAAATTAAAGACCAAAAAAGTAATTTATAGTTGCTGGAAAATTGGGATGAATCAATTTTCATACGATACAACAATAAAAAAAATTAATACACACATTTTGCTGCGTTTAGTCCACATTTTATGTAAAAATTTACATGCTCTTGCTTCCTCCAACTTCTTGAAAAGGCAAAGGTACAGACTTGAAGGCTCTGTATTTCCCCACATTGTTCAAATGCTCATTCTCCAACCTGATTTGCATACACACAAAATTAGAACACAAAAAGTTCATCTTGTGATCTCTCTTTTTCCAAAACTTCTGAAATGTGGTTTTGAGTAAAAATAGAACCTGAAGAAGTTCCAAATGCCACGACGAACGATCTCTAAAATGGTAACAACAGCAACCAAAGCTCTTCTGTGCAAAAATGGAGCTTCTCTAATCCCAAGAACCGTCTGCATCCAAGCCAGCCTCAGCACCACATTCACCACCTTCATTTTACAATATCTCAATTAATAAATAATAATATTCCACGGAATGAAAAGCTTACGTGCTTGTTTTTTACCATGGCAATGAAGTATATGCTTTTGTAAGGGATTAAGAGTTTGTCACGAAGCCAAGGGTTTTTGGAGTTGCGGTTCATTAGACCCCAATCCCTGAATATGTCCCAATAAGTATTGAACAATGTGGCAATGGTTGACGTGGTTACAGCCACCGTAAGCCAGTAGGTCCCTCTCTTTGTTTCAAAGATTGTTCTAGCCGCAACCGCTAATATTGTCGAGAGATACTTTAGTGCGTTAAGGCCATTCATTTTGTCTTTCTCCTCAACCAACCTCCTTATACACTGCAACCAAACAAAAGAAAGTTTGAAACATTTTGAAAGGATGTAAACCTTATTTTGAAGACCGGTTTTCTAGGCAGAACCAGATTAAACATTCGCTTTGGCCTCCCAAATTTAAAACGTTATTATACATAAATCGAAATATTTTTTATTAAGATTAACATAAATATATTTATGGCACTCTTAAATCTCAAATCCACCCTTGCTTCACTTACAAGTATATATATTTAAGTATGTACTTAGTACCTGAGCAAAGCGGAACCAGTAAGGAATGATGGCAACAACAAGGTAGAGTTCTTTGTAAATTTCACTCTCATAGCATGTGTGTGTTCTTTTCTTGAAATCTCCTCCCCAACCATAATAACATACATAAAACAACAAGCTTCTGAATGTTTGCACCTGCGAAAACAAAACCTAATGATGTTCCGATGAAAACACAAACTTGATAGCTGAATTCTAAACCAAGCAACTCGTTACCTGAGTGGTCAACTGATCTGCGAGAAAGAAATCCGGGAGAATAACCTAACAATAGAAAACAAACTCATAAACCATATATAACATCTTTAGAATAATTTACTTGGGTTGCAAGTTACCTTGTATAGTAGGCTTAATTAGAAAAAGAGATTACTTGGATGTCACGTTACCTTGTATAGTGGGCTTAAAAGACAACGGAAGGCGCACCCAATGAAGAAATATCTGCTTGACCGATATATTATATTGAGTGGACAAAACAGAGTAATCATGAAGCACTGCGACAATAGCCAAAACAAAACATTACACAGCTAACAATAAGGATATATATTGTTATTTGTTAGAGATCAATATCAATGACCTAGAGAACTTATACCATGAGAAGACCTAAAGGAACAAGCTCAGTGATGACACTAAACTCTTTGGTTCTCGGATCCATCTCCATGTCAAGATTCGAGATGACTCCTCCAAATGTTAGAACTGCTAGACCAGAGGCTAGAAGAAGAACTTCTCTATAACCAAGATCACTCCCTTGGTCAAACCCGAAGATAAAGGGGTAGTTAACTCTATATCGACTCCAGAAATATATGTCTCCTGCATACATAAGCAAATGAACCGCAACGAAAGCGAACATGCTGCGGAAATAACAAGCATTAGATAATTGAGTTCCTCTGTGTTTAGAAGTGATGAATGTAACGTTATCAAGAACCTGTAAAGAGGGAAGATGTTCTCCATGTATTGATGCCTGCCTTCACTTTTTGTTATACCTCTTATATGTACAAGAACCGTTATCGCAATGGCTAGAGCTACGGCGCAACCAGAAAAGAAACCTGTAGATGAAGATGATGTTTTAGTCTACTAGAAAAGAACATTAGGTTTAGTCATTTCATAGGTTAGAAAAAATGGATTTTAAGTACCGAGAAAGTATGTGATTCTGTGTTTCTCCCTCTTAGCTTTAGTCCTTAAACATTTCATTCCTTCACGGTGATTTCCGTGGGCAAAATGCTTAATAAACGTAGCTTCCACTCTTGACATGAGCCTTGAGACCTGAAAATGTAATGATAAGTCTTTTTTTTTAGTTAACATTTAATAAGAGATTGGTTACTTGTATTAACCTCATCGCAGCTTCCTAAATAAGAATGATCCACTGTATGTAGATAAGGCTTAGATGCATTCCTAGAAGTAGTCTGTGAAACATTAAAAATATCAGTATCAAACCACACCAAGAACACTTGCAAAACGAACATGATGTGATTACAAACCTTGTCATACTTCTTCAGTATTTTTGAAAAAGCCAACTGGTTCAAGAAGCTGCAAACCAGTGTGAGAGATTATCAAAACCATATTTTTTGAGAAACTATAGACCTAAGGAATTTTAATTCTTACCAATAACTCTTAAGGAACCTAAGTTTCTGGTAGAACTCAACAAAAGCGCGGTCCATAAGCTCCTCGGCTCTTTTAAGCTCCGGTTTGCTGAAGGTTTGCTCAGTTGAGAGACCCATGATCATGCACTTAAGCATTGACAATGGAGTCTCCGGTTCGATCTTGAGCTTTATATGATCCAGCATTTCTACTGGAGCAGGTTTAAAGACTTTCTTATCTTCTACTTGTTCCATTTCTTTGATCACTTCCATTGGTGAAATGGCTACAAATATAAAACATTCACATAGATTACACATGAGCTTTAACATTAGGATAATCACTTAATGCAGATTAAACATCACTCAGATGGGTAAAGTTTATTTCTAGAATATCTACAAAACACTTCAAATAATTTGAGCTGGATGTGTTTGAAATATAACTAAGAGATTAAACGTTAAAAATATTTCGTAATCCCCCTAAGCTCAAATAAATTGTGCCATTATTTTCACACATTTTTTTAATACAACTTAAATTGTTGCATAAAATCGTGATGCCCTAAGCAACCGGTTCATTTGCCTATGTTCCGGACCGGCCCCTCTGGTATATCCACAAAAATGTATTGGCCTCTCGGGAGTTAAAATGAAATATATGGAGCTAAACCTGGAGTCCTGTTGTGTGGAGAAGAAGGAGCACTCGAGATACTACTAATGTCAGGGAAGTCAACATTTGGATTCTCAACCTTAACTCTAAGAGCAATCAAAACGTTTAATTGTCTACTAAGCTCATCAGCCTCCTCCATCACGCTCTCCACTTTCTGCTTATAAAATCTCAAAACCTTGTTGAACTCTCCATCAAGCCGCCGGAAAAACTGAACCTCCATCTCTCCTCCTTCCTCCGCAGAGCATAGAAACGTCGTGTTGTAGCTACCCGTCTCGTCCTCGTTTATAAGAATGACTTGATCCTCGTCATCGTCAAAGAGATGGTAATGACGTTTGCTGCTTAGAGGATTGTTGTGTTTGTGTGATTTCTTGGGGGAGCCTTTGGCTCGGTTTGTTAGACCGCTGAATGCACGGTAAAGAGAGACTCTTCTTGATAGACCGGCTGAGCCGGTCCCGCCGGTGCTAGCTGCATGGAGAGGTGCGGTCTCTCCGGTGGGAGGAGGAGGAGGATGATATGGACGTTGTTGGTTTTGTAGGTGGTAACGAAGGAGTTGTTTGACGATGGATTTGAGAGAACGATAATCCATGTAGGCTTCTCTCCATTCTTGGATCATTTGCGCTTCATATTCTCTTCCGAACTTCATTTTTTTTTCTTGATTTTGGTATATTTTTCCCCGGAAAAGATTGGAGTTTTTCCGGGAAGAAATCTACCAAAAAATCTTTCCGGGAAAAAAATCTACCAAAAAAAAAAGTGTTTTTAATTGTTAATCTTTTTCCCCCATTTTGGTAAAATCTTTAGTCGTTTCAAAATTCCCAAACACTCGTGGCTGAGATTTGGAGAGGTGTTTTTCTATTTTTGGTATTAAAGTCTGTTTAGTGTGTTTGTAACCACACGTGCATGTGCATGCTTTAGTCCCAAACCATACTTAAACTCATTTTCCTTGTTTACTCTTAACCAAAACAAATACTTTCACTTTAGTTTTTTTTTTTAATTGTTGTTGTGCAATTTAGACATGGATTTGCGATCATCAACACGTAAGTTTGATCATATAACAACGTTAATATTGATCATAACGATGGTAATGGTGATGAGAAGAGGAGAATCGATGAGATTGGATCTGGAATCAGGCACGACCAAATGCGTCTCCGACGACATCAAAATAAATTATATGACTGTTGGAACTTACTCCGTCGTCAATTCAAACGAAGCTCACCATCTTCCTGCTTCCCACAAAATCCATGTCACTGTAAGCTTTAATTAAAAATTAATGATATATAACTGAGATAATATATGATTCATTTTGACCTAGAGAATCACATTTTACGTGTGAATCTCGGTTCTGAGTCCTTGATGAACCTTAACCTAAAAAAAAATGAAAAGTCATTGTTTACGTATAGGTAGCGTCACCTAAAGGGCACACTCAGCACCATGCACAAAATGTGGAGTCTGGGAAATTTTTGTTCACGGCGGTGGAAACTGGTGATTACACAACGTGTTTTATTGCTCCTGCTTTTAGACCTCCTGCCAAATTCGCCGTTGATTTCGAATGGAAAAGTGGTGTGGAGGCTAAAGATTGGACCAACATCGCCAGGAGAGGCCAGATCAACGTACACACTATATCTATACATATTTAAATCTAGTATTTTTGTCAGACTATATACAAGACTAGCCATATAGTTAGTTCTTTGAGTTATCGACGTAAAACTGATATATGTTTATGCTTAGATGCTGGAGGTGGAGGTGAGTAAACTACTGGACGTGACGGATTCTATACACGACGAAATGTTTCTACTCCGAGAGAGGTACTATTAAGCAATCGAATTTATAACCTAGAATGTTATTTCTTCTCATTTTTTTTTATTACAGCAAACTATTAATTTACCAGATTAATCTCTTATTTGGTCTCATAATCACGATTTCATTTTGTTGATTCGTGTGTACATTCGTCAAGAAAAGAGTGTTTTGGAAAATGTTAAAGCAAACGAAAGTAGTACATATGAATCTTAAACGTCAAACAGTTTTCTGATCATTTTATTCCAGCTGCTTTTATTAGTTGACTATTCCATAATTGTTAATTCAAAGTGTTAGCTTGCTGCCCATTTGAATTATATATATATGTAATGAGACTGTTGAGTAATTCTACTTACACAACTGGATTAATAGAAAAAGGAGGGTATGATGAGTTTTACATACACTTTATGAGCATATGGACTGTGACAGGGAACGGGAAATGCAGGAACTAAACCGGTCAACAAACTGGAAGATGGCGGGTCTGAGTGTATTCTCGTTACTGGTTACGTTGTCGGTAGCTGGTATACAACTGTGGCATCTCAAGTCATTCTTGGAGAGAAAGAAGCTTCTCTAATCAAACAAGTTGTCACTTTTTTACCTTTTATCAGATTTTGGTGTTCTCTGTTCTATCTCTTCTTTTTTTTTACTAATAAATCACTTTCTTTATCTTGGACTTTGAGGATTTAACATTACATTTTCTGGTTAGCCCAAAGTCAGATCATACATTGATTGTACTCCTTAGAAGTATTGTGTCTCTTATTGAATATGCTTCTTCTTATTGTGGTCGCAAAATAGAGATAGGCTCTGACATTATCATAGAATCACTTTATTTTATCAACTCTTCTTGTGGTTTGCTTGTATCATATAACTATGTCTTGGACCAGAACCAAAAGAAGTTAGTTTTCTAATAAATTCTTAGAACACTAGTGAGAAAATTTAGAATACATATTTGAATCCGGAATGTTAGGTGGGCTAAGATCTTGCGAGTCAGCCCTTTTAAGCTTTGGAAACTCGGTTGGTGTTGGTAAGCTCGCAATTTTTGCAAATCAGGGATTGAAACTGGCTGGCTGGTCCCGTTGATAACTTAACCTGATCAAGTCAGAAGGGCTGGGTCTTGGTGTTGATCTTTAACGGATGTGGAAGTAATAGCCGGATTGGTTAAACCAAAACACATCACTAAAAAACTTATAATGCATGGTTTCAATATTACTCGTTCAAGTCCTACAGAAGTTAGCACAAATGGGAAGCATACCAACAATTCAACTCAACAAACTTAGAGAAAAGTGTGAGTGGGTTACTAAATTAATTAGTGAATAGAAGCTTAAAATGCAATCCCTTAGAAAGAAGGGTTTAAATCATGGCCCTTGTGGTGCTTCTCCTTCTTCTTGTTCTTCTTCTTCTCATCATCACTATCATCATAATCTTTTTTCTTCTTCTTCTTCTCATCATCACTATCATCATGATCCTTTTTCTTCTTCTTCTCATCATAATCATCACCATGATCCTTTTTCTTCTTCTTCTTCTCATCATCACTATCATCATGATCCTTCTTCTTCTTCTTCTTCTCATCATAATCATCATGATGGTCCTTTTTCTTCTTCTTTTCATCATCATCATGATGGTCTTTCTTTTTCTTCTTCTTCTCATCATCGTCATGATGATCCTTCTCCTTCTTCTTTTTCTCATCATCATGATGGTCCTTCTCTTTCTTCTTCTTTTTCTCATCATAGCCATCATCATGATAGTCACTGTGGTGCTTATATTGCTCCTTCTCCTCCTTTTTCTTCTTCTCATCATCGTCAGAGCCTTTACCATCCTTTTTCTTATCCTTCTTCTTTTCCTTCTTCATGTTCTTCTCATCACCAGTGTCCTCCCCACTCTGCAACATTTAAAGAACAATTAAAGCCAGAGGATATATTAATAGAGTTTATTTCATAAAAAGGCAGTTGTTGAGGTTTTATATCATAAAAAGGCAGTTATTGCTATAGAGGTAGTTTTTTCTAACCAAATGAAAACTAGAGTCTAATTGTTTAGTTTCTTTTGGTTTAAGTTAGCAAATAAAAAAAAAAAAAACAGATCTGACTTTTTTTTCTCTGAAGAATTTATTCTTCTCGTGATTCATCACCATGTATCATCTTTATGGAGCTGCAAGCACCGCAGCCAAGCTTCTTCCTCCACTTTTATTCTATAACATATCCCTGCTATTGGAATGAACTCTCCTCTTCGTCGATACAGGTTCAGAAAGACGCAACCCTTGCGTCGTAATCGTCATGCTCGAATCCAAGCGGGTTGATGCTGGACAAAGAAGACCTATGGGGTTTTGGTTATAATCTATCAAAACTTAAAAAATCTGAGAAATTTTGTTTTTTCGTTTGGTTTTTGGATCTAATTGATTAATGACTACAATATTTTTTAAGTTCCTGAGATAAAAAAATGAAGATTGCATGAAGAAAAACTAATGGCGGCTCTGAGATTGAGTTGCAGAAACGCATGATACCTTAATAGGAAGAAGATGACTTAATTACAAAATTGCCACTCGTTTTAAAAAAGTGTGTACAATTATATGTGTACATCTTCACATATGTACACTTTATTATTAAAACAATATACACTCGTCATATGTGTACACTATTTATTATTAAAGCAAAAACCAAAAGTGACATGTGTACAATTATATGTATGCATGTGTACATCATCACATATGTACACTCGTTATTATTAAAATAATGTACCATAACCATGTATACATGTGTACGTCTTCANATATTTACGAAATACATAAACTTGTGAAGACGTACACATGTATACATGGTTATGGTACATTATTTTAATAATAAAGAGTGTACATATGTGATGATGTACACATGCAGACATATAATTGTACACATGTAACTTTTGGTTTTTGCTTTAATAATAAATAGTGTACACATATGACGAGTGTACATTGTTTTAATAATAAAGTGTACATATATGAAGATGTACACATGTACACATATAATTGGGGAAAATTGCATTTTAAATACTCAAGTTGGCAAAAGTTTGCACTTTAAACGTTGATGTTCAACATCTAACACTTTAAACAATGAAAGTAATTTCAATAACATATTAAACATTGAAACTAACTAACTTGTTCGCCACGTCAAAATTGTGACCGGTACTGTACACTATCAGGTCAAAATGATGACGTGGCACTCACTTTTTTTTTAAAAAAAAATATATTTTAATTAATAAATCAATAAAAATAATTAAAATAAATAAAAATAGTTAAAAGTAAATATAAAATAAATAAAATTATCTTAAAAAATAAAAAATTACTAAAAAAAATTTAAAACTTACAAAAAATATTTTAAAAATACAAAATGTTTCTTAAAAAAAAAATAATAATTTAAAATAAATTCAAAAATTAAAATAAATCCGAAAATTAAGAAAGTTATAAAATATATAATTTTCATATACTTCAGTTTTCAAAATTTAAAATATTTAAAATTCTCTTAAAAAGATAATTTTATTAAAAATTGAAGATACTTTTTTCAGTTTTATTTTTTAAAGATAGTTTTATCCAATTTATCTTAAAAATAAAAATTAGTAAAATTTTTAGAACTCATTAAGATGGTCTCTGGCATACAAATTTTATACCATCTTAATGAGTTTTAAAAATTTTACTAATTTTTATTTTTAAGATAAATTGGATAAAACTATTTTTAAAAAATAAAACTGAAAAAAGTATCTTCAATTTTTAATAAATGTAGTGTGTTTTTATTATTATTTTTAATGAATGTTAAATTATATTCAATAAAAAGAAACTGTTCTGAAGATTTTTTTTTCATTTTTATTTTTTAAAGATAAATTTATCCAATTTATCTTAAAAATAGAAATTAGTAAAAAATTTAAACTCATTAATATGGTCTAAAATTTGTATGCCAGAGACCATCTTAATGAGTTCTAATTTTTTTACTAATTTTTATTTTTAAGATAAATTGGATAAAACTACCTTTAAAAAATAAAACTGAAAAAATTATCTTTTTAAAAGAATTTTAAATATTTTAAACTTTGAAAACTGAAGTATATGAAAATTATATATTTTATAACTCTCTTAATTTTTGGGATTTATTTTAATTTTTGAATTTATTTTAAATTATTATTTATTTTTTAAGAAACATTTTGTATTTTTAAAAATAATTTTTGTAATTTTTAAACTTTTTAGTAATTTTTAAAGGTAATTTTATTTATTTTATATTTACTTTTAACTGTTTTTATTTATTTTAATCATTTTATTGATTTATGAATTAAAATATTTTTTTTTTAGAAAAAAGTGACTGGCACGTCATCATTTTGACCTGGTAATGTTCAGTACCGGTCACAATTTTGACGTGGCGAACAAGTTAGTTAGTTTCAATGTTTAATCTGTTATTGAAATTACTTTCATTGTTTAAAGTGTTAGATGTTGAACATCAAGGTTTAAAGTGCAAACTTTTGCCAACTTGAGTATTTAAAATGCAATTTTCCCCATATAATTGTACACATTTTCTTAAAATGAGTGGCAATTTTGTAATTAAGTCATCTTCTTCCTATTAAGGTATCCTGCGTTCTGCAACTCAATCTCAGAGCCGCCATTAATTTTTCTTCATACAATCTTCATTTTTTTATCTCAGGAACTTAAAAAATATTGTAGTCATTAATCAATTAGATCCAAAAACCAAACGAAAAAAAACAAAATTTCTCAGATTTTTTAAGTTTTGATAGATTATAACCAAAACCCCCATAGGTCTTCTTTGTCCAGTATCAACCCGCTTGGATTCGAGCATGACGATTACGAACTCCCAATTAACCTAATCTTTCATCCATTAATATGTTTCCAAATTTACATGTGTACAATTATATGCAGTAAATCAAAGTATGGTGGAGAATTACAGAAGAACCGTAACAAAATTGGAAAGGGAGCTGGAAAGAAGACTTTATCAAACAAGAAAATCTTCACCGTTGAAAAATTCTGTGTATCTAATCCAATGATTTTAAAAAGAGACATATATATGTCTAATCTACAAGATAGAATAAATCTGGAACGTTAGATGGAAAAGAGATGAAGGACTGAGGTTAATTTCTTCTAAACCAAATGTCTAGTTAGGGGGAGCTAACTGGATAGTTAATAATTAAGAAACAAAGTGGGAAAAGTTATAATAAACTACCTTTGTAGCACAAACTGTCTTTTTGTGATATTAAAAACGTGAAACTGCCTTTTTGTGATATTCTTTCATATTAATATTCATCCAAAACTTTACTTGCTATTTCAATTATACAAACAAAGTGAGAAAATCACTCAGTAAAAAAAGAAAAACTCAACAAATGAAACAAGAAATCATCACCAAAGAGATTATATATTCCATTTTTTTATTTTAACATTTATATATTCCATTTAATAATTATATATTCCATTTATATTCCAATTTTCAAACCTCGACAAAAATCTAGATGCAAAAAAGATTATTACTTTACTAAATTAACTTACATATTTTGTGTGGCTGTGCTCAGACACAGGTGTACGGCCATACTCAACCTCCGTTCTTCCGCCATAACCAGAACCAGGTTTCCGGCCAAAGTCAGATCCAGATCCACCGTACTGACCTTCAACGTGAGCGCCTCCGTGACCTTCATGTCGGGTCTTGGGTCGGGCATAGCTACTGTACTCGGTGTTAACAGCCTGGTCGCCGTAAGCAGAAGGCTCATGGCTTGAAGAAAACACGGGGGTCTGATATTCGAACGCGTCAGCGGAGGGAGAGGAGAGAGGGTAACAAGTCTCGTCTGACGGCGGGACTGAGCGACCGTACGTCATGGTGATGTCATAGCCTCCGCTATAGGGAGTGGGATCGTAATCATTGAAGTCGTCGACTTCATCGTCGTCTTTGGTATAGTACGGCATCAGGAGTCTCCTTCTCCTTCTCTTCTCCTCCTCTCTGACTATTATTACAATGTTGCTCAGTTTGTGTTTCAGCTTGTTTACTTGGCTACCATTACGCAAGAAAGTCAATGGTACCACGTGGCTTCTTATCTTTGTTGTCTAAGTCAATGTTTAATGAATCTTATTATTACAATTTACAAGAGCTTTGACTATTTCATGCAACTTCAGAATATTATTGGTACGCAAATATTAAAACCTATTTTAATGATCCGTGATGTCATCTTTTTATAGAATTTTTTTTTTTAATCCTACAGTTAGACTTGTTTGTTATTTTTGATCTAAGGATTAAGGTCTTTTGGTGTAAAAGGCTCTCTTTATTTGAATAGCTGGCGTCATCAAAAACTATCATCATCTTCTCTGAATCGTCTTCTCATCACAAACGACACAACTCTTATTTTTTTTATGACAACACGAAACAACACTTAATGGAGTTGTGACTCTTAGTTCCGTTTGCGTCCGCTAATCTCTTCCTCTGTTTTTTTTTTGTAACATCATTTTATTAATCATATAGCAAATACATAATCCATATGGAGTAGATTATCTAAAAACATTGGTACATAATTATAAAATTGAAATCTTGTTTCTTCGGCAACACGTTTAGCTAGACAATCTGCAGTCTTATTTGCACTCCTTATCCATTGGAATCTGATTTGTTTGAATTTTGTAGCCCACCACCTGATATCTCTTGTCCAATTATAGTAGGCAAAATGCATCTTCTTATTAATTCCTAATCTCTTCCTCTGTTTATATCCCTCCTTCTCTCACTTCATTTTTTAATTCCTGATCTCTGATTTGATTTTTTGATTAATCCCAATTTTATCTTCCGATCATCCACCATTCATATTCAATGCAGCTGTCATTAACATCCACGATTTGGTTTTATTCCGTTACAGTTTTTAAACAGTTGTGTTTTCTTTTTAAATTTTTTTTTGGTTTAAAAAAACTACTTATGTAAGGTTGTTGGACCTATTAAACCGTTTTCTTTTTAAATTAATCATTTGTCTTGATAATTATATCTTGATGGACCTAATAACTTGAATAGAAACTCTATATAATTGGTAAAACATTCAATACTTTAATGTCATATATTTTCATCAGACATCTGCTATTTTCTAAAAAAAAATATGAATGTCAATTAATTCGATTCAAAAATGGGCAATGGTTACCAAGAAAAACATTAGGAGCTAGGTTACAAATAGTTAAATTAATATCTGATAAATATTATATTATAAAGATAAAAATATAAGTTGTGATAAAAAAGATCTTCATATCTAAGAAGCTTTTTCGCCAGTAATAATAATGTCAAGATTAATCTTATTTATATTTGTAAATATTTTGGCTTACAAACTGCTATCTCTTCTAAATGTTTTTTGGGTAGATTATTGAAACACTTTTAAAATTGTTTTTATTATTATTTTGAGTATCTAACATTGACACTTTAATTGATTTGTATTACAAAATAAATTTAAAATAACTCAACTAATCTTGCATATGAGTATAGTATATTTCACAAAGTTGTGTATAAATAAACAAGTGTAGTTAATTCATGTAGGAGAAAAATGTAAAACAAAAACTAGTTTTTATAAAGAATAAATAAGCAAAATTATAAAAAAAATACATTTATTAAATAAAATCAAATCAAATTTCAGTAAAGAATTCAATATATTTACATAAAAATTTAGAGTCATGATTAGCATCTTTTGACGAAGAGTCTCCTTCTCAAACAATACAATCCGTAAATTGTGCCTCATTTGACAATCAATATATATTTATGTTTGCATCTTTAACACTTCATTTCTCAGTTCTTCAGTTAGGTTGTATGGAATCGAAAATGGATATGATACGTAAAAACGAAACGTTTCGAAACGTGGAAACATGATTTTCATAAAAATTAGAAATAGAAACATTTTAGAAACGTCTATATATATGATTAATTAACATTTATGCTTAATTTTTTTTTGATTTATTTAAGAGAGAAAATTCTGTAATATAAGTGTTATTTTTCATGATACATTTTATAAAAAAATAATCAATAATTAGAAAACTAACACATTATTATTCGATAATATTGAAATATAATATTAAAATACAAGTTAATAATGTAATCACTAATATCAAATAAAAAATAGTTCTTCTTTCGTGTTCCCAATCAGAATTGTGAGTTTCCAAATCAGAAACGCAAGTTTTCATCGTGTTTCTAAAATTAAATATTTAAGAAACACGTTTCCAAAAGACTTCTTCAAATTTTCAAGAGATTCCGACTCCGAAACGTTTTCGAAAAAGGAAATAGACTTTGACTGGAGTTTCCATGCAACCTACTTTTTCAGTACATTTCTTCTTAAATACACTCATCGATGTAATACATTTATTGTTTCTCTCTATCCTCCATTTGAAAATTTTGTTTCATGGTCTCCGTATTTTGTCTGTCTAATTTTTGGATTTTTTAATTTAATTCATTGTTTATTTCATGTGTATTTGTTTCTCAAATTTCACCGCTTACGTTTTTTTGAACTTTTCTTATCTTTTGACTTTTATTTTATTCTAATTTTCTTTTTCACCTTTTTTTATGGTAGAAATTTTATGGAAGGAGATGAACAGTGTCACATCTTCTATTTGACACATGTCATCTTCTCTTATTACATTATTTATTGATTTTTTGTGTTTTTGGTATTTTTTTCTGTGAAAAACTGATTTAAGAGTCGAAAACTATCATTGTATAAGCTTCTTTTCTCGGATATATGTCCAAAGCTGTTTCCAAATTCTATTGAGAGAGAGAGAGACAAACACACATCGTTTCACACATCTTTTAATTTCTGTTTAATGTAACCCTTTAATATATTATAAACTTTCTGTATGAGAGAAAGATGGGTTATGTTTTATCCAATCACATTTTTAAAGATATTTTTTAATTTAAATTCAGTCTATAGGTTTCCTATTTCCAACTCTTATGTTTATAATAAATATATTTTATAAATTTAATGTATGATAAATAAATAATAAATGTGTAAAATAAAAGAAATATAACTTTAAGCATATACATTTTATTAATATTATTAAAACTATTTTTTGTTTTAAAGAACTTATATATCCGCGCGCGCAAACTTTTATTTTCTAGTAACAACAATAAGAATAAATGAGGACTGATAAATCAGATACAAAGACAATAAAAATGAGAAAATAGGAAAATCTTGAAAGTGATCCAAAGTCTTCACAATGCGACACACAGGAGGGAGAGAGACGTTCACAAAGTCACACTCATGATCCGACCTGCATTAGTCAAGTAACCTTCATCATCAATGGCTCCCAAATGGTGCAAATCGTACCAGCCCCGAAGGTAGGCCGGAGGATGAGGAAAATCAACAAAATCGAAGTCAAACAACAAGTCATGCACACCCAGTTGTTTCAAGGTAAGAAACGCGTTTGCCAAGTTTGATCTCAACATGTGGGGATATGGCTGCCTCTGAACAAACTCATTGTAACGCTCCTCTGAGTAAAGCCTGAAACATTTGCCAGGCCGTGTTCTCCCGGCACGACCTGCTCTCTGGTCAGCACTTGCTCGTGATATTGGGGACAGCATCATGTACTCGTGGCAAATGTTTGGGAGGTAGACTTTCTGCATGGAGACACCAGGATCAACCACGTAAACAATAGGGTCAATGGCTAAAGAAGCCTCCGCAATGCTGGTGGAGACAACAATCTTCCTCCTCACATCATCAAATATATTATTATTATTATGTTGTTGCAAGGCAGGAGGAAGAGTGGTGGAATAGAGTGGCAAAACGTTGACTTGGTCATCAAGTAATCTAGTGGAGATCCTTGTGCAAGCGTCTTCAATATCTTCCTCACAGGCTAAGAAAACAAGGACGTCACCAGGTGGCTCACACTTGTGAATCTGAACTACAGTGCGTATAGCAGCTTCGAGATAGTCCTCTGGAGGAGAAGCATACAAGATGTCAATTGAATGGAGCCTACGTGGGGGAACTTTGATAAGAGTTGGCGCACACTTCCTACAGCCACTAAAAAAACTTTTCAACTTGTGTGCTGCTTGGAGGGTAGCACTCATCACAACCAGAGTCAGATCAGGTCTTTCCAAATCCAAGACCCTATTAAGAAGGCCAATAAGCACATCAGTGGCCAAACTTCTTTCTTGAGCCTCGTCGAGAACAATGGCTCTGTATCTCCCAAAAACCGGATCTGCAATAGCTTCTCTCACAAGCATACCGTCTGTCATGTACTTGAGCACCGTTTGGGGGCTGGTGCGATCCTCCAATGGAACATTGTAACCGACCTCTTCCCCGATCTCGACACCCATCTCTTGGGCGACACGACGGGAGACAGACATGGCTGCAGCTTCACAAGGTTGCGTGCACCCAATCAACCACCTAGGGTTAGGGTTAGGGTTAGGGTCTTCCAGCTTCAGTGCTTCCAACAGAAACTGTGGTATCTGCGTGGATTTGCCACACCCTCTCTCACCGAACAATATCACGATCTTGTTTTCCTTAACGCTTCGTTGAAACTCTTCTTTGTGCTCCCACACTGCTAGGCTCTTCCGTTGCTCCTCCATCCCCTAGTTCTAACAGTTTTTTTTTTTTTTTTTCAGAGAGTATCCACTAGATTTGTAGCGATACAGAGAGGAAGAGAAAATAAGAATTTTAGATAGTTTCGTGAATTTTATGTGTTATTGGAGTCCCTATTTATAAAAGGCTCTCTTTCCTTTTCTTTTTTTTCTTTCCTTTTTATGTTTAATTTCCTTTTTTTTTGTTTTTATATATAAATGGACAAAGAAATTTTAAATGGAAAATTTCCTTCTCTTTATTATGCTAACTAAATATTATCGGCTATCTCAAATTTTCTGGACTCAGCTTCTCTAAATATTTAGTTAGAATTATTAGTTGTAGTCTTTCCCTAAATGGTAATGTCATAAATAAATCAGAGTTTAAAAAAAGTTTTAAATTAACAAA